TGTGGTGGCTCCTGTGGCTGGTGGGGGGAGGCTTCACACACAGCTGCTGTTCCTCAGACAGAGGGTGTGGTGATCCCATTAATGATTCTTGCCTGGTTGAAGAATTTTGTATCAGCTTCCAGTCAACGCTCTCCACAAACTGAATGAGCCAAGTTTCGTCTGAATGGCTAAGGCGACACAGGCAGCCACATTGTCACCTTCCTGGGGCTAAGTGGAGCCCTGAGAGTTTTAAGCGGCCACAGCTCGGTGGGGGCCAGCGACGGGCTCTGGTTCCACCTTTGCTCAAGGGGCACACACAGACGCGCACCCACGCGCCTTCTCTTGAGTGCCAGTTCTTAAACTTCTCACTGAATCAAATAATTAAGAAAAAAAAGTAAATTTAGTTTCAGTTGAGATTGGAAGATAAAACAATTTCCTGTCTCGGCACTCGGATAATTAATGATTACTCAATTCACTACATTTAAACACAACTAGTCATGAACTGTTCTATCTGCAAGTCATGATGGCATGCATAAGCGAGGCAGAGACACCCAGGAAACACCCAGCAGAGGAATGACTTGCCCAATACAGTTCATCTAACCTGGGGACTCTTCAGGACTCTTTAAACAGCAAACTGAGGCAAAGTAACAAGCACAGCATCTGGTAAGTGCCAGAAGGGTTTCTCAAAGATCCAGGGGCTGCTTGAGCCAAAATCATCGGGGACCTTGTTAAAATGCACCAAGAGGTGAGGAGCTGTTAAATTCTTGGCCCCTTTTTGGGTCTACTGAACCACTATCTCGGAAGATGAAGCTCAGTAACCTACATTGCTAAGAAGCATTCCAGATGATTCTTAGACATACTACACGCTGAGAATGACTGATCTAACAACTGTTTTAGAATATATAATTCAGAATGGTTAAACAGTATTTAAAAGGGATGTTTGCTGCTTCCTATTACAACTGTGAAGAATACATTCCTACCCGAGGTCAGATAATAAAGAAGAGAGAGAGCTGGGTACCCCATCTCTACTTGAGCCAGTAAAAAACAAGCCCGCAGTATTCATCTTCACATACACCCATGTGTAAATATGGAGAGGAACAGATGAACAACTCACAATTCCAATTGTTTACCAAAGTTACACATTAACCTATACAAAAGTTTTATAGGTTATAGAAGACTGATTGACAGATAAGCTAGTCAGAAATATCTAATACACGTTTCATTCAAACACAGATATGTGTGCTCAGATATAGGAACATGAATTTGCATGTCCTGAGACCCTTCTGTACTCAGAGGTGAATAATTATTAAGGTGGTCTACAGAGTGTGTGTGTTTCAGACTTGATGCCAAGTCTGGTTTTAGGCACTTAGAAGCTTGCCTAAGCAAGTATCTTAAACCTTGTCAAGGCCCACTATTTATAAAAAGAAGTAATAAGCCCTAGCTGGTTTGGCTCAGTGGATAGAGCATCAACCTGCAGACTGAAGGGACCCAGGTTTGAATCTGGTCAAGGGCACATATTTCAGTTATGGGCTCGATCCCCAGTGGGGGCTGTGCAGGAGGCAGCCAATCGATGATATTCCTCTCTCATTGATGTTTTTATCTCTCTAAACCTCTCCACTCCTCTCCCTCTAAAAAGTCAATAAAAACATATTTTAAAAAGAAATAATAACACCTTTCTCAGATAAGTGTTAAAGGATTAAATGAGAAAATACCTAGAAAAATGTTTAACGCCAGCACATACTAAGCATTCAGTAAATGTTAGCTATCATTATTAGCTATGAGAACTTTCAGGAGCAGATAGGTAGGCAGTTGGGGAAGTGGGTGACCAGGAAAGAGGTGTGATGTATGTGGTTGTAAATGCAACTGCACTGTAACTTTAACTTACTTTGTACTGTATTAATCCCATTATAAAAATAAATTCCTTCCTATGTGATAGACAATGTATCTTGTCTACATCTTTGCTGCAGAATTCTAAATTGCATATACTTACAATATGGTACTTTATCAAAATTCAAGTTTGAGAAATACATACAGAAAATCCCTACAATGCTTGTGAGCCAAAAAGCACAATGGAACATAAAATTGTGAGTGAGGCTGAGAAGGTCAAGTAGAAAACCAGCTGCTAAGCATATGTGCAAAAGGACCGTAGAGTACGTACTCAATGATAGATTATGTACTTTAAGTTTAGTAATGCAATTTCAGAGATTTTTTCTGAACTTTTCAAATGAAGTTTCATAGGTTTACATCTTAATCACAATGGAACCCCGGGAAGATATTAACTTCGAATTATTTTTAAAAAGACTTCCATCCCACTTTACCATGTGGCCCATAGGAGTTCCCCATGTTGTATGCAGTTCCGTCTGGGTCATAATGAGGATGTGCAGTTGCTCCATTCACAGCAATGAATTTGCTCCAGTCTACCTGCAAATTGAAGACCATCAGAAAATTTTAAATGTTAACATGGGCAGATCTCTATTTAGATCCGTAAACAGTAGAGATGTGTCAAATACTTTTAAAATAAGATATGAAAACAATAGCCCTAAGTCCTAATATCTCACCTCTGAGAATTCAAAATCATTTTCCCTCCTAAAGAAAAATAAACAAAAACACCCCCAAAATAAAGAAAAAAACCCCACCACTAACGAATAAAAAATGTACAAAAAGTATTACCCAATAAGGGTAAATTTCCCCCCAAGATCACAGGAAAGCTCAAAGAGTAAGAGTTAAAATTAAAATTCTGGCCTCTCTCTCTCTCTCTCTCTCTCTCTCTCTCTCTCTCTCACACACACACACACACACACACACACACACACACACACACACCTACTCCTTTCCCTTCCCCCTTGTCTTCCCCCAGGCGCAGTTACCTTTGCCTTTCTCTCTCCTAAGCTCCAAAGACCCTTCCTCTGCCTCTGTAACTTGTTTCCGAGCCTATGCCACCCAATTGGCTCACTTCTACTACCTCTGTAACTTTCTAAATAAGCTTTCTCTTATTTAAAAAATTAAGTTAAATTAAAAATCTGGTCCAATTTTTTATTTAACTTTTAATTAATGTGTTAAGTTAAAGTAGTATGGGTCTACCAGAGGTGGGCAAACTTTTTGACTCGAGGGCCACAATGGGTTCTTAAACCGGACTGGAGCGCTGAAACAAAAGCATGGATGGAGTGTTTGTGTGAACTAATATAAATTCAAAGTAAACATCATTACATAAAAGGGTACGGTCTTTTTTTTTTTTAGTTTTATTCATTTCAAACAGGCCGGATCCGGCCCATGGGCCGTAGTTTGCCCACGGCTGGTCTAGACAATCTCCAGTCCAATTCTACCTGTAGCTAGGAAGAACATGAGCTGACCACAGTAAACGTTTTTGTTTTGTTGTTTTTCTTTATATTTTTTTATTTTTTCATTTCAGAGAGGAAGGGGGAGAGAGAGAGACAGTGATGAGAGAGAATCATTGATCAGCTGCCTTCTGCATAC